ATCCAAGGACCACATGAAGGGCAGGCAACAGCTGAAGAGCTGATTTTAACCCTAAGGCATCTACTGTGGAGGCTTCCTCCTTGCCCCCCTTCTTACCCTTATACTTGGTCTGCGCAATCACCTAAGCCATAACGTGATCAACTCCTAGTGTCGGAAGGAGCCACCGAGTCTGATTCCTTGCTCAGTGCAGGAATCCACTTTAAAGCAGCCCAGACTGGGAATGTTTGAGTTCCCCTCAGCACTCAAAAGCATGAGCACCTTCACTGTGGTTGGTAAACTCTGCTTTATGACTTAGCATATTGCATGAACCTGATCAGCTTTGGCTTTTGAGCCCTGTTAAATATTCACATAGATGATTTTCCCATTTCCCTTGCAAAGATGGCCAGGGGTGTGTATCACTTTCCTTTCTGGCGTCTCCCCACACCAACTGGGGGCGTTGGAAGTTCACAGTGCAAGGTAGCCAATTCTACTGCTCCAATGGATGACCCTCCCCACCATGGCAGCTCTGTTCACCTGGGAGGGGATGTGGCAGTAGAGGACAGCTTGGGCACCCAGATCAGCTCCAGAGAAAAACTCACATTAGGTCCACAGATAATATATATGTGATCAAGCTGATAAAATGGAACAGCTGATAGGAGGGCCATACAGTATTTTAAAGAACTACATATATTTAAGCTGTTAATGAAGTTTAGGCACTATAATGAAGATTTTTTCCAAAAAGGAAAACTAGTTGGGTCTGTATGTGACATTGTAAAGGAGGAGGATCAGAATGTTCTGGTCAGCAAGAGCGGATCCTGTCCCCAGCCAGGAAGCTCATCTTACACTCTGAAGTGCCAAATGGAACGTGATAGCTAAAGATCAACACACTACATTATAGTAACTTATTATACCCATCTTCCTACAGAAAAGACACTCTAAGCAGCTTAGTTCACATTAAACAGAACATTACCCCCCCCAAAACCAAACAAGAAAATATTAGAACAGAATCACAATGTTTAAGTATAATATGCTGGAATAAAATAGCCTTCAATGGCTTTAGCAGTCCAGATGGTGAGGCACAAAGGCTCTCTAGGCAGTTAGGCCATAAAGATACTTCAGCCCTTTTGCTCATAGTCAGACCAGAAAGCCAGGTTAATGAATACCCTCTTCTTCATGTCCCACATGTCCCTTTAACCAAAGTCTTTCCACGTCTTCCAAACCCGGAGGGGTCACTTAAAACCTACAGAAGCCTATAAATCTGGTCAATGTTCTAGTTTCTGCATAGGAAGCCTAAGATTTTGGTTGAAGAAGTATGATTGATTGCGACAGGGGCTGGATCAGGCTGCATTCACTCATTAGTGGCAGACATTTTGACTTAGTCGTGTGAATGCAGCCAAAACGAAAGCCTTTAAAGAGGCACAAAGTTCCCAGGTAGCTCTGCACAAGAGACTGTTCCGACACTACAGTCATCCTACACCACTCAGGGCATTGCAGATCAAACCTGATCCATACATCAGCTCCTCTAATTCAGACTATTTCCACCTTGTTCATTGTACTCTTCCTTGCCAGTCCAAAGGTGTTCTCAAAAATCTCTTCAGAACTTCTATCATGGCACTGGAGACTGGATCAGGGATGAAAGTCCAACTCTACCAGTTCTCCTGGACTTCTTGGTGACTTTTTATATCCATCTGGCAGGTTCTACCTCTCCTCCATACTATTTAACAACCACATGAAACTAGTGGTGGAAGTAATTTGAAGCTCTGGCATGGAATTCCAACAGTATGCAAATAATATCAACTCTGCTGCTCCTTGCAATCTGATGCCAAGGAAGTAATCCGTATCCTTGAAGTTGTCTAAGTTCAGAAATGGGTGGATTAAGGAGGACAAACTGCAATTGGATTTAACTGCATTTAAATTTAATTTAACCACTTGGGAGAGGTGTTCAGGGGAAAATTGGACTCAGAGGTAGGAGCTCATTAACTCTATTTAGGATGAGACTGCATTCTACTAAACAATAGTGCTTCCCATAGGAACACTTCTTGACTTTCAGCTTTCACTAAATTTACAGGGCTGGTTGCAGCTAGGAGTATTTTTGCACAATTACATCTCCCATGTCAACTGTAGCCATGGCTGAACCACTTGGATTTGGCAACAGTTTTTCACAATGCAATGCACGCTATATGGGACTATCTTGAAAAAGAGTCCGGAAATTGTGGTTGATGTCAACGAAGCAACTAGATTACTAACCCATGCAAGATATAGGGCTTGTATGATACCCATCCAGAAAGATCTGCCCCACATGCCACTTTCTTTCCAGACACCACTTAAGGTGCTGGCATTGATTTTTGAAGCCCTCATTGATGAAGAGCCTGCTCATCTGAGGGGCCACTTCTCCTGCTATGAATCTGTCCAGCCAGGAAGACCTGCGGGAGATGCTGTTCGGAAGATCCCAGTCTCCCAGCAGCACATCTTTCTCATGCAGGGAATCTTCTGCTTCATCGCTCTCTTTCAACTCCCGTTTGGCCCAGCCCGATATTTAGAACATTTAGAAAAACTCATCTCTTTCGAAGACTTTTGATTTTAAAGTGTTTTACTTTTTTTTTTAATATCAGCTGCCTTGAACAGAAAGGCAAAATAGAACAGAATAGACCTTATTGTGATAATTGGCCAGAGTTCCACTAAAGGCAAAGTAAGAATTTAAAACACACAGAGTAAAATAAAAATAAATCAGAAATTGGTATAAGAACCAGTTTGGTGTAGTGCTTAAGGCACCAATATGGAAACCGGGAGGCCGTGAGTTCCAGTCCTGCCTTGGGCACAAAGCCAGCAGGGGGATCTTGGGCCAGTCACTTTCTCTCAGCCCGAGGAAGCAGGCAATGGCAAACCACTTCCAAAAACTTGCCAAGAAAACTGCAGGGACTAGTCCGGGCAGTTGCCAGGAATCAACACTGACTTGAAGGCACAGAAAATTAAAAAACCACCAAAACAGAATGTGCCCTCATTTAGAGCAACTGAGTCACCCTGGCCAACTAACAGCACCTGTAGGTAGAAAGGGGTCAAGTAGCCAGACATTTAGTTAAAAAGGGGCTCTAAGATGCGGCGGCGCGTCTTCCACACAGCAAAACACGAGCCACGTTTTCGATCTGCCTTTGCCACGAGCGAGAAAGGCAGGAGGTACACAAAGTAAAGAAACAAACAGACCAGGGGCCATCTGCCAAATCTCGAGCGGGCAACATTTCCAGGCCTGCTGATCAAGGCTGTCATGGGCACAAAGTCGCCCCTTGGCAGGGGGGTCGGCAAAAAAGTGAGGAGGGCGGCCGCCGCCACGCCACTGAGCCTTTTTTCATCCCTGCCACCCCCTACAAGAAAAACCGAGCTGGGTTCCCTCCCCATTCTTCTGAGGCCTCGGGTAACCGGATTGATTTATCTAAAGCCGTGTTTTTCAACCGTGGCCGCTTTCAGATGGGTGGACTTCAACTCCCAGGA